GATACCGGGCGATTTCGTCCTCTAAGCTCCGCGTCTGATTTTTTGACTTCTGGCGGAACCGTTTGACCGCTTCGTTGTTACGACTTCGCAATCGCAAATAGTTTGGCGCGGACCGTTGGGTCTGATTAGTTCGTGTATATGCTCGCCGTTCGGACCCGGATGTTGAACTTTCGGAGAAGTCAGGCGAGTCCGCCTTAGAAACCTCTGGCGCTTTTAAACCTGTGAAACATAGAAAAGATATGCATTCAAGCAGCCTTACGACCTGGTTGGTTTAAAGTTTCAGCGCTTCAGATGCATGAACTAGTTGGTGGATGCGCGTTGTGTCAAACAAAAGGTCACGTGTTCGAACCCAAAAAACGGATGAAAGTGCTCTTATGATTTGCTCTTCAGAATCGGACATTTTAACCTCAGAATTTCAAAAGCTTCCTTTAACAGGATGTATAGTCTTTAGCCGGGAAACCACGTATTCAAATCACCCTAGAGATTCGTGAAATGTGCATCGTTAGTGATTCCCAGTAAGAATGGGGAAATTATACAATGCTACTCAGCTTTTCAGCAGATTGACTTCATCCACAGGATGAAGTAGATGAATCTCGTCGAAATACGCCCTTATCTGCAGAACAACATAATAGTTCAAAATATTTGTAGGGGCTCGCAACAAGGATAGCATTTGCGCCGCCCGAATTCCACTTAAGCTTATCTATTCATGCATTTCCGCTTTACACAATGAGTTAATCTAGTAGAACGGTGATAATATTATTATTCTCACTATCAAGGTCATCACAGACAGCACATGGGTGCTCACACTGAGCTGCATGGAGAACGGACTTGGCGCTGGCCTACCGCCATCATGCTCACTGTATTCGATCAATTCAATGCCAACTGCTAGTTGCCGTTATTCCGGGTTTTGTTGCATCACACGCGCCATTTCCGCTGGCAAAAAAAATAAAGATCGAACTGGAACTACAGTATCAAACTCCGGTTAGGAGTTTGCGCTTTAAGTGGGTGAGAGGGGAATCTTTAAAAAAAGAATTTTGCATATTCAGACAGAGGTAATCGAATTACCTAAAAATGGTCATTTTCTGTTGCGGCTGCATACAGCGGTATCCAAGAGTAACTTCTTACTAGGCTACCCCCTAAAGATTCCACGACATTTTTTGTAGGCAACGGTATAATGAGTGATGTTCACGAAAAAGGTACACTTTCAAAAGAGAAACAATGTCCCTCGTTCTCCCGGGGAACCTACTTCATATCACAGATCCTAGTACTGCTCATCGAGTTCTTTCATCTATGTTACTCACTTTCCACACCTACATTTTGGATAACCACCTCTACCACCTCGTGGACTTTCTTTTCTTCAGTTGTGTGTGCACCTTCCAGTATCTCCTCTCAGTCCAGTCATTATGTAGCTTTAAGATGAGACATATGTTCGACGACCAACTGTTATGTCATGTTGGCCTTTAGAACCGCTTCCCTGTTCCACTCGGTGAGTAACGTCTGCATTCTTGTTTCACTCTCTATCTTAATGGCAACGACATGGAATACTGACAACCTATATGAAACACTCACCTTTATACATTTGCCTCCTCACGGATAGTTAAGATGTATACTAAGCAGCTGGAGCAAAGACGTAGTGTGGAAGAGTTGGTGCAACATGTAAGTCTGAAAACGCAAGCAAGAGTATGATGTGGTTAGAAATGTACTGTTGAAAATGCATAGAGGTAAGCTTGGTTCGTCAGTCTATCGTATATTAAACAAAATGAATGCAGTCAACACCAGATTCTATGGAAGCCTCACAATACTGCGATGAAGGGTTAGTAAGAGAGTACACAAACCAAAGTATATGGGTAATAATCTATTTCCAAAAAACGAAATCCCCATCACGCCATGCACTGGAAAAATAATGCAAACAACACGGAACCATCTGACCGCAGAAGTCCATCATAATAATTTTCTTCCGTTGTTTATGATGAATCACTTTCTTCTTCATCCCTTCCGCTTATTTATGCTAGTCGATCTTCACCTTTGAGGCCTTCGAGGTTTTGTCAAAACACTTTCAGAATCAGGAAGCTGTTGGACATAACCTACAAGGAATGATATCTCCCGGTAGGAAAACTTACTTTTGTTTTTGCCTTCAGAGGACTATCTTCTAAGACAGGATTAGCCAGTTTCAAAAATGGCTCGGAAGTACACCACACAGGCATGAAGTCAGGTGTAAGATTTGAACAAATATCAATCGAGTATCAGCTTCAATTACGAACATTTTGCATGTCAGAGACATTATCATTGAGTGTTCATAGGAATTTGCTATGGACTGCGTCACCAGTGCCACCCGGCTTTTGAAAACGATTACACTCCTAGATTATGCACGACAAATCGTGATCTGTAGGGCAGCAGGAAGGATGCAGAGAACAGGTGGTCAGCAACACCAGCATGACCGCTCAGAAAGTAAACTGATGATTATATGAGAGCTGAGGTACTACCAGAACACCCATGAATTGCGCAGTCATGATTAATTTCATGTCAAATCGACTGTCACGTGGTACCATCAACCTTATTTGCTGCATAGAGCAGGGCGGATAAGCGAAAAAGGTTACTGCTGAAACCACCTTTTTTTCCTTTGCGCGTATTTTTTCTTCCCTCCCTCCTTATTCCGATGATGAAATGATCTCTAACCCAATCCGCCGAGTCTACATTATGCTCTCGCTATTGTTAGTTCAGTCGCCTAAGCCTAGACAGGAGAAGTCGAGATGCAAACGTCGAATTCCCCTGTCTAGGTTTGGGCAACTTGGCAGTATCCCAGACCTCGTGCTTCCTTCGGGTGTTACAGCTGAGTGATTATCTTATTATCCAAATACAAAGGTCAGGTTCGAACCACGGACCTTTCGGTCAGTAAAGTCGCGCTCTAACTGCTGAGTCATCTCGCCCCCCCCCCCCCGGGC